AATAATTGAGTAGTTGATGGTGTTTGATTGTCTATTGTTGAAGCCAGTGTAGATATCTCTGCTTTTGTGGATGATCTTGTTGTAGCAGACAGTTCACCTATTGTAGTAGTTTCTTTTGTTGCACGATTTTCGATTGTAGTTGCGGGTGTTGTAGGCCTTTGTGGAGTTGAAGCCTTAGTTATTGGAGTTGTGTACACATGGGCCAACGTTGTTAATGGATGTACACTTTGTTCATGAGTGCTTTGGTATTCATCTACTATTGCAATTGGTCGACCTGTTGAAGTTGCTGATATATTTGTTCCTGTTATATCTGATGTAGCTACCAATCGAGTAGTTGACGGTGTTTGATTATCTATTGTTGAAGCCAGTGTAGATGTAGATACCAATCGAGTAGTTGATGGTGTTTGATTGTCTATTGTTGAAGCCAGTGTAGATATCTCTGCTATTGTGGATGTCCTTGTTGTAGCAGATGGTTCACCCGTTGCAATAATTTCTTTTGTTTTATGATTTTCGATTGTAGTTGCTGGTGTTGTAGGCGTTTGTGGAGTTGAAGACTTAGTTATTGCTGTTGTGTATTCATGGGCCAACGTAGTTAATGGTTTAACACTTTGTTCATAAGTGCTTTGATATTCATCTACTATTGTCATTGGTCGACCTGTTGAAGTTGGCAATATATCTGTTCCTGGTATATCGGATGTAGATACTAATTGAGTAGTTGATGGTGTTTGATTGTCTATTGTTGAAGCCAGTGTAGATATCTCTGCTATTGTGGATGATCTTGTTGTAGCAGATAGTTCACCTGTTGTAGTTGTTTCTTTTGTTTCATGATTCTCGATTGTAGTTGCTGGTGTTGTAGGGCTTTGTGGAGTGGAAGAATTAGTTATTGGTGTTGTGTATTCATGGGCCAACGTTGTTAATGGTTGTACACTTTGTTCATGAGTGTTTTGATATTCATCTACTATTGTCAGTGGTAGACCTGTTGAAGTTGGCGACATATTTGTTCCTGATATATCTGATGTAGATACCAATCGAGTAGTTGATGATGTTTGATTATCTATTGTTGAAGCCAGGGCAGTCAACGTTGTTAATGGTTTTACACTTTGTTCATTAGTGCTTTGATATTCATCTACTATTGTCATTGGTCGACCTGTTGAAGTTGGTGATATATCTGTTCCTGGTATATCTGATGTAGATACCAATCGAGTAGTTGATGGTGTTTGATTATCTATTGCTGAAGCCAGTATAGACATCTCTGCTATTGTGGATGACCTTGTTGTAGCAGATAGTTCACCTGTTGCAGTAATTTCTTTTGTTTCCTGATTTTCGATTGCAGTTGCTGGTGTTGTAGGCCTTTGTGAAGTTGGAGACTTGGTTATTGGTATTGTGTATTCATGGGCCAACGTTGTTAATGGTTTTACACTTTGTTCATGAGTGCTTTGATATTTATCTACTATTGTAATTGTTTGACCTGATGAAGTTGCTGATATATTTGTTCCTGGTATATCTGATGTGGTTACCAATCGAGTAGTTGATAGTGTTTGATTGTCTATTGTTGAAACCAGTGTAGATATATCTGCTATTGTGGATGATCTTGTTGTAGCAGATAGTTCACCTGTTGTAGTTTCTTTTGTTTCATCATTTTTGATTGTAGTTACTGGTGTTGTAGGCCTTTGTGGAGTTGAAGCCTTAGTTATTGGAGTTGTGTACACATGGGCCAACATTGTTAATGGATGTACACTTTGTTCATGAGTGCTTTGGTATTCATCTACTATTGTAATTGGTCGATCTGTTGAAGTTGCTGATATATTTGTTCCTGTTATATCTGATGTAGATACCAATCGAGTACTTGATGGCGTCTGATTATCTATTGTTGAAGCCAGTGTAGACATTTCTGCTATTGTGGATGTCCTTGTTGTAGCAGATGGTTCACCCATTGCAATAATTTCTTTTGTTTCATGATTCTCGATTGTAGTTGCTGGTGTTGTAGGCCTTTGTGGAGTTGAAGACATGGTTATTGGTGTTGTGTAGTCATGGGCCAACGTTGTTAATGGTTTTACACTTTGTTCATGAGTGTTTTGATATTCATCTACTATTGTCAGTGGTCGATCTGTTGAAGTTGGTGATATATCTGTTTCTGGTATATCTGATGTGGTTACCAATCGAGTAGTTGATAGTGTTTGATTGTCTATTGTTGAAACCAGTGTAGATATATCTGCTATTGTGGATGATCTTGTTGTAGCAGATAGTTCACCTGTTGTAGTAGTTTCTTTTGTTTCATCATTTTTGATTGTAGTTACTGGTGTTGTAGGCCTTTGTGGAGTTGAAGCCTTAGTTATTGGAGTTGTGTACACATGGGCCAACGTTGTTAATGGATGTACACTTTGTTCATGAGTGCTTTGGTATTCATCTACTATTGTAATTGGTCGACCTGTTGAAGTTGCTGATATATTTGTTCCTGTTATATCTGATGTAGATACCAATCGAGTACTTGATGGCGTCTGATTATCTACTGTTGAAGCCAGTGTAGACATTTCTGCTATTGTGGATGTCCTTGTTGTAGCAGATAGTTCACCCGTTGCAATAATTTCTTTTGTTTTATAATTTTCGATTGTAGTTGGTGGTGTTGTAGACGTTTGTGGAGTTGAAGACTTAGTTATTGCTGTTGTGTATTCATGGGCCAACGTTGTTAATGGTTTAACACTTTGTTCATGAGTGCTTTGATATTCATCTACTATTGTCATTGGTCGACCAGTTGAAGTTTGTGATATATCTGTTTCTGGTATATCGGATGTAGATACTAATTGAGTAGTTGATGGTGTTTGATTGTCTATTGTTGAAGCCAGTGTAGATATATCTGCTATTGTGGATGACCTTGTTGTAGCAGATAGTTCACCTGTTGCAGTAGTTTCTTTTGTTTCATGATTTTCGATTGTAGTTGCTGGTGTTCTAGGCCTTTGTGGAGTTGAAGACTTGGTTATTGGTGTTGTGTATTCATGGGCCAACGTTGTTAATGGTTGTACACTTTGTTCATGAGTGCTTTGATATTCATCTACTATTGTCATTGGTCGATCTGTTGAAGTTGGCGATATTTTTGTTCCTGATATATCTGGTGAAGTTACCAATCGAGTAGTTGATGGTGTTTGATTATCTATTGTTGAAGCCAGTGTAGATATCTCTGCTATTGTAGATAACCTTGTTGTAGCAGATAGTTCACCTGTTGCAGTAGTTTCTTTTGTTTCATGATTTTCGATTGTAGTTGCTGGTGTTCTAGGCCTTTGTGGAGTTGAAGACTTGATTATTGGTGTTGTGTATTCATGGGCCAACGTTGTTAATGGTTGTACACTTTGTTCATGAGTGCTTTGATATTCATCTACTATTGTCAGTGGTCGACCTGTTGAAGTTGGTGATATATCTGTTTCTGGTGTAGATACCAATCGAGTAGTTGATGGTGTTTGATTATCTATTGTTGAAGCCAGTGTAGATATCTTTGCTATTGTGCTTGGCTTTGTTGTAGCAGATATTTTACTTGTTGTTGATTGTCTCGGTATTGTAGTCGTTATTTGTTCAGTGACAAATTGTTTTGTCACTGGCTTAACCTGTGTAGTTGTAATCAGTACACTTTCCTTCGTTGTAGTGCGCGTAGATGAATCAGATGACGACTGGAACGTTGAAAGTGTTGGTAATTGTGTGGCTGCAGTATTCATTAATGCTATAGTTGTAAGTTGGTGTGTTATTGGTACTGTCTCTTGTTTCCTCATTGTACTAGGTCGCAATGTAGACGATGAGGCTTCATTCCCCTGATTAGTTAATGTCATTGAATGTGTGGACAATTGTTGCTTCAATTCAGTGGTCGACGATTTATGTGACAGGTGGCTGGTTGTCGTAGATACTAGTGTAGTTGGCAATTCAATGGCTGGAGTTGACGGTCGCATAGTTGGTGGTTGATTTGTTGAACTTGGTAATGTTGATGCAGGCAACGAATTAGTTTGCTGTCGAGTTGATGTTGATAGCAACTGTGCAGTTGATGGATATATTGTTGTATATTTTTGCACTGTACTTGGTCGCTGACTGGTTGCAGACAGTGATGGTGTACTTGGCAGTTGAGTTGTCGGTGGCGCAGCTGTTGTTGTGCGCAGTGGATCTTCCAAAGCAAAAAAGAAAACAAATAGTTTTTAACCAAAATTCACAACTTATTTTTATGTTATTTATTGTCTGTAAATACAATAGCAGTGCTTTTATTTTATCTCATACAGTGACATTCCAAATAAGAATGCTTTTAGAAATCTAGAGTTATATGCTTAGTCATATATTGCCCTACTATTTAGTTCTAAAACTTTGGTATTGTTGAATTTGTTCCGAAAAAAGACATAATATAAGTAAGTCTGAAGCGTAGTAAAATATTCATAAAATCATTGTAGTGTTAAACTTTTTAAAGATATAGTGTGACTTACCTTGATCGTACACCTCAATTTCACAGAGCTCTAATCTGTGCCTCTGTTTCTTGTTTGAGTTGACGATTCTCACGAAGTCACCAACACGTATAGGATCACATTCTATGACTATCTGTAGATAACGGTTAGCAATACTCTTTGTGATTTTCCCACATGCCTCATAATTGTCATCTTCCAACTTCTTTGACTGTACGGTTGCGTCATAGAGGTTATTATTTTTCACTACAGGATAAAATCATAGAAATCAATTATAAAAGTCGTGGGGACTGTAGGATGTGTTTTCGGAAATTGGGGCACATGTACGTCAAATTACGATTAAATCTAGTCTTTCTAGGCAACATGACATTTCTATAATTTAAAAATAAACAGGTATATTTTATTTTTCGTATGAGCTAGTTATTCGACAAACAATCTGTTTGTCAGACTCCCATGACCGTAAAAACTAATATAACAGGGAGCACTGTACATTGGTAATGGTGGGCGCAGATCGCATGATACTCGCAAAATAATCCGTGTAATGAGAAATGTTGAAACACGATCGTGTCGGTCGCACTGTTTACTAACGTTGCCTCTCAACACTAAGAATGTCATGTGTGATATTATAATACGTTTGATAACTAGAAACACTCAATAGTGGCGTAGTGAATAAAGACAGAGGCCACTGCGTGCACGCTGTATATCACTTACATCTAGTACTGTAGACAACGACGTATTTTATTATAACCCTTCTCGGCATTTGTATTTTAATCCAGTTAGTCTTGTCGTCGGATTTCATAAACACGCATCCGCCAAATACAGGGTCATCGCTAAAGAAAGTAAAGCCATCAACCGATTTATCAGGATCAGCACCATTATCCCACGCATTATTTGAAGTGATATTTTGGTGTAAGGCGAAGTTTGTCAAACCTGAAAAAATAAATGCTTTCGATGACATGCCATATAAGATACTGCACACGACACCATTTATTTAAACCACTGAAGCCACTTTAGTGTTATTCAAACCAATATGTGTGTTCTATAGTACATTTCAGTCTTACTTGTTGCATATGGCACTCCGGAAACAGCCTCCTGGTTAACTTCCGCTAGTGTTGTTAAGACTTTGATATCTGGAACAGAAGATGTCAGAGTTGATTAGTTTGCAAATAGGCACTATAAGTGCTTCTGTTTATAGCTCAATTATTATTATTTGTAGGACTCTACCTAAAAAGTCATTGGTTATTTAGTCCTGTATGGCCGACAGACGGACAGTTTTTTGTATTCACAAATTACACCGCTAAACACTTTTCAGTGTCCATACATAAATACAGGAATTCATCTACTAATTACAGGTAACATGCAAGATACGAACTCTCAGCCACGGCAATGAACATCAATGGTGATGATGAGAATTCCTTGTGCATGTAAGGTGGGTCATAATAAGTGGTAGCAATTGCATGAACAGAGAAGGCATGCATATTATTAGGCATTGAGTAAGGTCTATGAAACCAGGTATACACAGAGCACAAGCACAATATTATTGTCTAACCAAGTATCTTAGCGTAGCACTGCGGTTATTTAGTTTGTCTTGCATCAGACATAATGCGAGTTCCATTCCAATAATGTATACCCCCAACAGTATACAATACACTGCCCGACCATTGGATAGGTTTAGGGAAAGAGGAGTTAATAACGAACTTGAATGAGGGGCGAATTCGCATTTTGTTGAAAATGTTGTTGTAATCGTGCGTAAGTTTTCTGGTTCATCTGGTTAAATACCCGCCCTAACGTTCTCAACATTTGTACTGCAGTGAAGAAACAGAAACACAGTTTGTATTGACAACAGTTCGATGTTGCAGGGCAATGGACAATGGTATTTTTTGTTGCAGAACCCACTTATCTTTGATCGTGAGAGTTGTTCTCGTCATGCCTCTACCGTTATCTGAACATCTTTTTATTGGATTCCCGTTATACGCACTGAAGTGTTGTTGTCAGTATCACGTTTACTTTTGTTTGTAACCAAGCTTTTACAACTAAAACGCCTTTTTCTGTGATCGAGCACATTCATGAGATGCCGGACCACTCATAATTTTACTCTTTTTCAGAAATCGACAGTAGGAAAAGAGATACTTCGCTGTCAGCTTTAGTAGCGGTAAAAATCCCGTTCAGAATGCATCTAACTTGAACATCCAAATTACAAATTGCTAAAATTTATGAACAAAAACATTTGCATTCTGGACTGAGTATTGTTCATATCACTCCATATTTGGTGGCGAAGTTATGAGAGTATGTACAGTTGGCATTGACATTGTAGTAGGTCAGTATATAAATCCAGGGAATACGCATCAAAATTAACGTGGTATGTCGCCCGAACTCAAACCACCCATCCTTACGGATCAAATGACTAAAAAAACACTATATTTTAGTAAAAATGGCGTTATTTCGGCGGGAAAAAGATAATTTTTCGCCCGATCCTTTTCAAAATTTGACCAAAAAAAATATTTATTCCCGCAAACGTTGACGGAAAAAAGTAAACCACGGGACGGCACACAACGTATACATTTTCTACTGTGAGTGCCTCCAGGAAATTAATACAGTGACAATCCTTTGAGCAATAAAATAAGTAAAAAGTGAGGGAAAACTGCGTTATCATAAAGGCATTACTAAGGTAAATAAAATAGACGTCTATGAAAACACATCTATAGCAAGTCTTTGTGAAATACGCTATGCAGGGAAAATATTCCCTTCATAATTACGATCATCAATAATAGGCCGAGTGGTTTTTGTTTCTTTTTGTTTCTTCTTTTATATATTTTTATTGAATAAAAAAATATTCTCGTATACATATCACATTACGGATCGCTGTTAACACCGTGACTATCGGACACTGTCGCCTCTTATGAGTGGCTTTGGCAGCACTTCAAACACACTTCATATATCGTTCTCAAAAGAAACAAATTTGTTTTTTATGCTGTTTTTCACAAACAGTATACATTAATAACCTTGAATACGTTACAATTGGTGACGTTGATTATTTACCTTTATCCATTCAGTTAACAAATTGCGAGAATCATCAAGGCCGCTTTGAAAATAGTCAGAAAAGATACTCACCCAAAACCAGCCAGATGATCAGCGACAGTCTAGCATATAAATTGGTCATCACAGCGTATATACAATTTCCTTCAACATATGTTTCAAACGTTGAAAAAAAAATGTAAATATGTGTTCTCAAACTGAACAACAGCAGCACAACCGTTAAGGGGATCCACTTACAAGATTATGCGTCTTGACTAAGTATTGTATTTAATCTAATGCCTAACTTTAGAGACATTGCCATTTATGCCTTGACGTGTCCTGTGACAATGCACATATTACTAACAGTGCGTACACCAACAATAGCGCCATTATACGACACATACTTCAAGAACAGTACGATTGAATTCTTTTTTTAATATCAAGATCACTATTTATTGAACCATAGTATGATACAGTGATGTTTTCACCAATAGTGATTTTTTTGTTTGTTTTTTTAAAATTGGTGAATATGTAATTACGCCACTGCATGCTGATCAGAGCATGTTTTAAGCTACTGGATTGTATGTGGCATGGTGGTCGAGTGAGTTAGTGTTGTGGGTGAAAGAGCTTTGGTCTCATTTAAAGGAGGTACGTAGGTTCCAAACTTACCATAGATTTTTTTTACCCGAGAAAAAAACTAAAAGTTCCCAATATGAGACTGTTCCTCACATCAGTGTCTACGTAACTAGGTCCCGACAAGCCCCACGGAGCATATTTCTCGTTATAGGGAAATAAATAAATAATTCGACACAAATACTCCAGTTATTTCAGTCCACCTCAACCATATAAATATGATGAACTGAAATCACGCCCAGCACCGCAATTATAAGTATTTGTTATCATTCTTTTATAATGTTCGAGCAGCGTCGCTCCTCCAAAATCAAGCTGAAACCCTTTGCGTCAGCAAAATTTGCCCCTCAAAATATAGAAAATGGCGTTTCAGAGGGTCTAGATTTCAAAATTTATAAGAGGGAGCATGCCCCTTGTGCAAAATTACGTGCCGCGGCCTTTGCTCTCCATTCACACCTGGCAATGTGATTAATTGGCAGTTGCACCAAAACCGGCATGTTTTGTTGTCTGGCCAGTCAGGCTGTGTCATTGAGCAATTGAGTCAAAATGCAACACTGTAACCCTATCTAAATAAATCGAGTTCACAGTACATCCAGTCCCATTCTGTGAGTTTGTGGAAAACTCTGAATGTGTTTGAGCTTCTTTAAAGAATTGTTAGATATTTTATCTAAATAGATGATCTATCGCGAATTGCTGTTGTTGCTTTGTTGTTGTTTGCAGCGAGCATAGAAGTATATATTCGATTAAATACTGTAAAAGCTTTAATTTTCACTGTAATTTTATTCCACTATTTCGATATTCCTATTCAATGTGTTTTAAACTCACGGGTTTACCAGGGAGACAATAAGTTGTAAAATTAACACTTGAACATCAATTAAATTAACGGATGTCATTTAAATAGCAGGCACTCTGTGATTGACAAATTTGCTTCAGTATGAAACCCAAACGCTTAAATGTATTAAAAAATATCTGTACGATAATTTCGTTTGGTTATTTTGCCTACCGAACACTTCCGTGTTTGCTACTAAAACGTCATTTCTAGTATAATTGTAAATCATACGCTTTAGTATTTTCAAGATATTTTTTTTTTCAGATTAAACAAACTTATTTAAACATTTTCAAGTTCACATTGTCTCTCTACTCGTGAATTATTAGTGTTTTGGAAATAAGTGTCAGAGTAGCGAACATTACACTGTATTTTCATACTCGGAACACACAGTTACTGTCGACAAATGGTCATGTACTAAATCGAAATAATTAAATCCCAATATCAGACTTAGTATATATCCTCAAATCCATTAGGAGCAGCAACTGCAAAAATAAACGTCACGCAAAGTCGCACGGGAACTGTGACGGATGCGTCCGATCGCTTACGTTTGAACTTGTCCGTTCCATATTCAGCGGGCCCAGGAAGACAGATAAATATCGTCTATACCGTATTGCATTACGTGGGACATTTTGGTGCGATAAAAGTTTAGTGTATCAGCTGAACACCTGTTTTCGTTATTTCTACAGTTGATACAACATATTTTCTTGTCAGCATAGAAGAAATAGTGTTACTCGTACAAGAATTTGACTATAGCTGCACATTATTTACCCTGTTCAAGGTATTTGTATAGCATCTGAAGTTACCGAAACTAACACGGCTGTTAGAAATGTTTATTATTCGTAAGGGTTCAGTTATCGAGCTACTTTCCGTGATTTTTAACGGAAAAATCTACTAGAATTTTAAAATGATTGTCAAGCTATACTACTGTCTTTGTGTTTCTCACGTACTTTTACCTGATTTTTCGAGTTCAAAGCACTATACTTGACACCACATACTTTCATGTATAAGGTGGATATTCGACAAAATTATCGACAACATAATTAAAACTTTCTTATCTGACAGTAACATCTAGTCTACAATAGCAAAAATGAAACATACAATTTAGGCAAGGTCATTGTCGACAAGATTGTTGGCAATCGGCAACACCTGTGTAAATACTATGCTAGGTGGAGAATGGTAAGATGATTCACTAAAATCACCGGAGACAAAACGGTTTTCACTGAGATTGTGTGAAAGAAAAACAAACATGAACGTGTATCCCACAGCATAAAAGGAAAAGACTTCGTGCGTGATAAGCAATGGAAAAACATGACATGATGCCAGACTTTGGAAACAATTAAAAAACAAACACGATTCGCAAAGATGTTACATTTAGCTTCATTGTTTAATCAATCGTTTCAAATTTGTAAGGTTGTCATTGAAGTCATTATTGGATCACGATCTTTGTCACATACATAATCACGGTATTTTATTCCTGGGCCCCCTAGTTTGGGAGTCACATTAACCCCAGCGTACGTGACTCGACTCGACGTTTAGAGCCACCGTGACGACGAACATGAGTACGTTACTACTTGTATATGAGATATCTGATGATATTAATAATCTTTGATCTCGAAATACAACTTGTTAGTTCCCCGCTAACGTGACCTTTTCAGT